ATAAGGCGATGAATTATTAATACGTTAAATAAGTAAATATGGTACAAATTTTGTCGTATTTTGCTTCATTTTAATTAGCAAAATCTCACCAATAGTTTAAGAAAATTTTTATGTCAAAATAGCCAAAAATGAAAAAGTTATTAATACATTAGTGTTGTCTCATTGACTCGCAGACTTTTAATCTTTTTTTACCTCCCAATTTTCGGCTGTTACAGTGGTACGAATCGCTAAAAACGTGATAAACAATCCTTACATTTACATTTCACCATCTATCATTACAAAAATCGTCATTCGGGGAGTTTCAGGGTCGTAGAATCTGATTTTGGGCTCAAACTTTTTATTATACTAAAGATAAGCCAAGTAGAGGGGAGGAAGTGTCGATAAAGTAATTTTATATTTTGTTTAACAGTACAGCCTGATTTGTTTATAATATTTGAAGTTAATTACAGCATAAAATTTAAAAAAACCTACCACAGATAGCAGTCGTATGAGAAATAAAGGTGGATAAAGGTATTGAGCGCGCGGAGATTAAGAAGTCAATACTTTGTATAAATTTAGATATTCATATAAGTATATAAATAGGTAGTTGTGAATAATAGAAACATAAGAAATTATGTGATGGTCGTAATTAATCGCATATTTTCATCTTTCGAAATCGAGGCGAATCCTTGAAACTTGTATTATTAGATAGTCTATGAATGTAACTGCAAAAGTTGAACTTGCGCATTCTTGCGACTGCGGAGTAATAACCAATCATATTGACAGCAATCACGCGGCTGGGCGTGAAGCGGCGTGAAATAAGTATCTGTGCCCCGCCAACATGTTTCTATATTCCTGAAAATATTAAGGAAAGCATATTTAAGTAAAATAAAAAGTGACAGTAATTAAATACACAAATACATATATAAATATAAACATGTACAAGTTCACGTTTACTTGGATTTGAAAGGCGGGTCCTCCAGCGCGTCATAGGATGGGACCTCTGGCCGCGGGCCGTGGTAGAAGCCATGGTCCGCGATCAGAGGTCGTGGGACGCCGTGGCCTCCTTCTGTGAGGAAATTCGCACACAGAAGGAGGCTGCCGACCGGGATCGGGAAAGGTTCGATCCCGCTCGGGGCGAAAGAAGAGGAGTGAGGCGGGCGCGAAGGCGGCAAGTTGCGGCCCCCGCGGCCGTTCTTCTCCTTGGAGGTGGGATCGGAACGGGTGGCCCTCGGGCACCCTGAACCGCCTCACTCCTCTTCTACATACAGCGGTGCGGGTTGCACCGCTGTAAGACAAGGGGTTGCCCCGCGGGTGGCGCGATTCATAGGGTCACAGTCCCGATGACCCTCGCGTCGCCCGCGGGGCAACCTTGCCGAGGGGGTGATACTGGGGGTACCACCTCCTTTCGCGGTCGGCCCACGAGAAGACAGCGTTGAGAGGTGTCCTCTCGGCGCTGTAGCTAGGAGGCGGAGAGTCGACACGTGCAACCGCTACCCCCTCCCCCAGAGAAGAGCCCACCCCTAAACACTTGTAGAGGAGGGCAATGGGCAGGGCTGGTCGTGGTTATACCGAGTGATCCCGCTATCAGATCTCTGCCCGAGGGTTACCGGGGGGGTTGTAGCGTGGTGATATCCCGTATTGGTCGTCTCCGCCCCCAGCCGAGGTGGAGCACCTTTTCAAGGTTTTCCATCGTTAAAAAAAAAGGTAGATTGGAACCGAAAGCCACTGCTTGGGGTAAAAAATCCCCAATATTTTATAACCGACTTTTCGTGTAATATAAAACTAAATAAATAAAGAATTCTTTTAAAATTAACAAATATTTATTAAACCAATTCTTTTTGCCTTTGGTATACTTATTATATTGTTATAATTTATTTACTGTACCATATTTACTCTATACTCTATATAATTATTATATTGAAATCCTATTAACATGGGTCATTCCAAGCCAAATTGATCTTGCAAGTGGAGGCGTAGAGAAGATCTAAAGGTCACCTTTGTTTTTTTAAATGGATATATTTGACTTTTTTCATGAAACATTACTATTCGTTGTTTGTTGCATTTGACGTAGTGAGCATATCCTCGAATATATTCCATAATGGAAGTAATAGAATGAAAACAGTCAAATGTTAAAAGTCGCTTTCGATTGTTTGAAGTCTAAAAGGTGTCGAGAATGTTCGTCAGCTGTGAAAAAGGTTGGAAAACAGGTACGAATTAAAAAGAAACGAGCAACAAAGAAAATATTTATTCGAATGAAAGACCCAATGGTATTTTAAATATAATTTGGCCCACCCCGCATGTTATGTTTTTATTAAGTAAAATAAATAAAGTGGCAGTATTAGGGACATTTTATCTATCATACAACATACAGGCATATATAATATTATTTTAAATTATAATGTAAAAACCATAATTCCTCGACATTGTCCGGCAATAATTATTGCGAAGAAATGTGCACTGAAGATTGTATTACTGACCCTGTCCAACCGCAGGATTCCATTTGTAATCGTTAACTTATTTAGCATTTATAATTCATATCATGAACCTGAAGATTGAATATGGTGTTACGAACCCGGGCCGTAGCAACGCGAGTGGCCGGCGAGTTTAGGTTTTCCAAGGAATATGGTATCAGTTTATTAGTAAGGTGCGTGGACGAATCTGACGCGAAGCCATGTTTGAAAACGAGGACGAACCTGATGCGAAATCAGGGAGCCTCTAGGAATGGAGTCACTTGCGTACGAACCTGATGCGAAATCAGGGAGCCGCAAGATTGGCCAAGTTTCGTGGACGAATCCGATGCGAAATCGGAGAGCCACTGAGTTGGAAATATTCTTGGAAAAGTGTAATGCATGGACGAACCTGATGCGAAATCGGGGAGCCGTTAGGAAATGTTAGTTAGTGCCTCGTAACCTTTGAATTTATAATTAATACAACTCGAGCGGTAAAATTGTATTAGTATGGGAACGGTCGACCTGATATTATTTTAAACTACAGATTTCTGGATCGTGTTATCGATTCAAAATGAACGACACAGATTTGTAAAATAATAGTATAATTAATCAGTCTGTAGTTTCAAATGTATTGTGTAGTGTTGTCGCGTAGTAGTAAGTAATAATGAAATAATAATTATTACCGAAATAAATAGGTGCTCGGTATTAACGCACTGGCGATACGGGGGTTGCGAGTGGATTTTACGGAATAATGCCAAAGTAATAATTCTAGCCGGAATACAAATAAAGTGTTCACGGTTTACTACAAGGTTAACTGGATTCGAAAGGGAACTTTAGCCCAATCTCACTAACGTAATGACCAACTCACAAGAACGTGACGAGACGTGACTCTAAAGGCGACGGTACAGTTCTGATCCCCCGAGGGTTAAAATCAACGGGTTTATATAGGCCTAGAAATTGGTGGGGATGCTATGAAATTTCCATATAAGGAAATTTTTGACGGTTGAAGTTGCGTTACGCTTCCTAGTTTTTTGGTTACCACGCCGTGGGAACGGATGCTTATTCAAGAGATAACGAAAACGTAAGGGTGTTTTCCTTTGCCGGGTGCGAGCTCAGAATATTAGAGCGAGAGGTATGATAGAAAATTATTCATACGTAACATTTACATACAGTTGCGTTGCGATACACACGTTACATTACGAGTATATGATATACGAAGATATAATAAAGGATTTTAATTCTTAAAAATTTAGAAGGTGGTTTATTGCAACATTCTGTATAATATAGGAATTTGCCACATTTTACTGTATAAGAGGCCATTTCACCGTACACATAGTGTCTTAAAGTACATCAAACAATTTAAAAATGCCATCCAAGAAACCGTAGGTACACTCACTTCTGATTGCCATACGCCCAAACGCGCAGCAGCTTCGGCGCGCTGCGTCTATGGCACGGTTAATTATTTATTTTAAAGTACGCTCCACTATTTCTCCATCCTGAAACTTACCATATTGGTACAGGATAAATCAAGGAATAACGTCATATTTAGTTCAAAACGTTATCGAGATGTAAAAGTTTCGAAAATTGCATGTCATTATATATACGCTTGTAACAAATGTAATACCTTATCGTTACTGAACTTAGTGTATGCGAAATGAAAGCGCGGTTCAAGAGCTTTCAAATGAGTTCAAGACGAAGTCTGTAAATTAAACACAACTGAAGATATTGATGTTTAAATGTAAGCGGATTTTCAATTTTAAGCATTTTGTGCAATATTTAAGCGTTCATATTTTCTGAAAAAGTAATTTTAAAAATCTGAAAAAAAACTCACATGTGTTTCTACGCCATACAGAACACGTAACAAAAACTTCAACAAAATCGGAGAGGTGATAAAAAATTTTCACTTTAAATCGTTCCGGTTGACGTGAAATGACCCATTAGCATTGTATCACCGTTACCCGGAAATGTAATCGTTTCTTGATCTCTCCTCGATCAGCCGTCGCGTCGGAACTTTTTAGAAATTCTTTATTAATTGTTATTTCATTCTTCCTGCATTATTTGAGTAACTAACCCTAAATAAATATGAATGCTCACTTGTAATTTCGAAAATTAGAAAATGTAATTGTTAATTTAATGAACTAATAAAATATTGATTGTAATTGTTAGCTAGTTACTAAATGGAATTCTATTCAACACTGTTCGTAACAGAATAATCAAAAAGTTCTATTTTACAAATTTATATTATACATTTCATTTACTATTAAAGGGGCACTCCGTATAGATGGTTGAAAAATCGACTTTCTTTTGCATAAATCGATAATAATACATCTGGAGAATATGTCCCTTTAGTAACAGATTGAAATTCGAATCATAACCGGAGTTTTAGTTGCGTATACAATAGCGCGTCGAGTTATCAGATCGCGCGGGCCTGCCCCGGTCGGTCCCTCCGCCTCGCTCGTTGCACACAGTAGACCTCAGGGCTCAGAACGCAGAATTATTTGGAGCTGATTTTTAGTCGGTCTTGTATTTCGTGTACCATCGTGTAAATACGGCTATAGTCGAGGTAGAATGAATCAATGCCCTTCGGTGAAAACGCAGTTAAGAAGTTTCGAGCACGCGCTCCCACTTCATCCTGACGTACAAAAGCATTTATTACCCATATACCAAGACCTATCGAAGAAAGATCTGCTGAAAAGATGTGTCGGCGGTCATACGCAAAATGCCAATGAAAGTTTTAATTCTACCGTTTGGCGTTTGACACCAAAACACCTGAACTACGAGATTAATATCATTGAAATCGCGGTTTTTATAACTGCTAGTGTTTTCAATGAAGGATATTGTGCCATTTTAAAAATGATGAACATATTGCAAATAAAAATTGGACACGAGTGCAAATTTTTGGCTGATAAGTACAACGCCGCACGAGTAAATCGCCAAGAGCGCCGCAGCCCCAGTAGTAGTAAAGAAGCTCGCTCTGCTCGCAGGGAAGAACAATTAGAACAACAGCAGTTTTTTGAAGAAGCAGAAGGTTTGCTGTATGGACCTGGAATCGCAGATTAGCGCAAAATAGTTGTAAGTATCCAAAAACGTACACTTTTCACTACCTGAAACTTTAAACGCATTTTTCTCAAAACTACTTTTTCCAATTTGGCGTGCAGCATTACTCAAAAAATGTTTGACCAAACGACTTATCCCAGTGCATAGATATAGAAAATTAAATTCCCCTCTAGATGAACCTATAAAATTAACGATATTATTAAATTATATAATGTTTATTACACAGTGAACACGAATTTTTTTCTAAAAATCGCTATCTTTGACTTTTAAGTCCCGTCATTTCTTTAATTAAGCATTTTTTATTGTTCTAATAGGTTCATCCATAGCGTAATCTTATTTAAAAATCAAAATTTGTGTGTTTTTTTGTTTTAGGCGAATACAGTAGACGATAGACTGCACGTCGATTTATACATCTGACGATTTTCTCATTTATGTCTAATTGTAAGTTAACTAAAGCCTCACAAATTTTCAGCTGTAATCAAATGATGTAAGAAAAAAGTTCAGTGGCTCCCGGACTAGAAGGCTGAACGTGAAAGACATCGACCGACGATTGAAATACAATGTGAACACATAAAGAATGAAACGTAACCGCATGAACGAAAATTTAATTTTTTATAGTTTTCAGTATACATTCATTAAAGTGTCACGAATGAACTGAGGAGATTATATCGGTAGAAATGAGTCCAAATTCGACATTATTAGGACAATATTCAATAATATATCATTTTTATCCGCAACAATACGTATGAGTAAAAATTGTTCAATTACACTCGAATATGGACGCATTTTTATTGCGAGAATCCCTTCAGTTCATTCAAGACACTTTCATTAATATATATTGAAAATCGTAAAAGTTTAAGTTTTCATTCGTGCGTGATTCCTTATCTCATCTACGTTTCTTTATATTGTATGCCGACTGTCGGTCGCTGGCCTTTGACGTTCGACGCTCGCCAGCGCGTTTTTTCGAGCTGACTGGCTGGCCAAAGTTATTTCAAGATTTATTCAAAGCCTTCGGATAAAAGATACAAATAAAAGATGAAAATATCGACGCTATGAATAAGACGCCCCGAATAAAAAACGTATCTTTTATTCGTCAGATCATTCTCGTCGGATAAATTTATTCAATCGACGCTGGTCGAATAAAGATCCTTTCTTAATTCAAGCTTCAAATAACGAATAAACATAAAGTATCTTTTATTCGAACAGTTATTTAAATAATTTTGTATGTAGATAATGCCCATCTCTGGCGCGAGGTATCTCGTTCAAAACAGCACGCGAACGGTGTTACTTTGCGAGATTATTCTGTACACAGCGTCGCATGAACGATTTTGTGTCGCGAGATATTTCGTAAATAACGTCGCATGAAAGACATTGCGTTGCAAGACATCTCGTCCTCCGATGCGAAGCGGTTAAAGGCGAGATTTCGTATAAAGGTGCGTCTCTGGTGCCTGAAGCAGATCCTCGTCGGATGTGTTTCACGTCCAAGATAGTAGAATGAAGTAAGAGACAAATATATGTCGCACTTCGTTTAAACGCAGAGACGCACGCGGTGAGCGCTTGTAGGAAATCCCGCCTTAAAGGCGTAGCTTCTCTTCCTTTTTCAATCGCTGTCCTCTTTCCTGTGACCGAAGCCGGCTCGATGAATTTTCTTACGGCAGAGAGCTGCCGCCCCCCGTCTCCTCGCCCCCGCCAGCATACCGTTTGCCGCCAGTTGAACGCCTTGGAACGTAGCTCCCTCCATAAGAAAGTTCGTCGTCGAGCCGGCCGGCTACGATCGCAGAGAAGGACAGTGTATGAAAAACGAAGAGAAGCTACGAGTCGAGGCAGCCGAAAGTTGCATTAGTGTTGTCTCGCTGCGTTCGCGTCCAACGTAAATTTTTCTGACGATCGCTTACTTCGGTAACATTCTGAGCGGAAACGTACAAAAAAATGTCCGTGAAATTTCAGTTTTCACCAGAGGAAGACGAAGTTTTAATGGAAAGTATAAGGAAGTACCCTATCCTATACGACAGCAGCAATCCCATATATTATAATGCACAAGTTAAGGAAAATTTATGGACAATAGTATCAGAAAATGTAAAAAGAACAAGTAAGTATTCTTTAATTATATTTATGTGTATAAGTATTTTTTAACACGTTGAGTGCTATGTATATTAGATTTGGTCATTGATAGATAAATTACAAGGAAGCAATTATTGGCATCACGATTACATCCTGCAAAATCATGTAGTTTTTAAGCCGTGTTTGGAAAATGGCACACATGGCGTAGTAATAAGTTTTCTGTTGCGCAATTTAGTTTTCTTTACTTTAGCTGCTTAGGGGAATTTCAAGAACACATAATTTTCGGCTTTGCAATAATTCAAGAATATAACTATTCATTGTTGAATTGTTGCTACGCATATTCTTCCGAAAACTCCACTTGAATTATCATAAGAGAAGGAAAAAGAGGGTGATTAATTAAAATAGTGAAGAATTTTGTAGGTTCCGTTGAAAGATATACTTTCTATACTTTTTTTTATGTATTCTGTTTCACCTTATTTTATTCTTTTTCTACTCTTGTATATTTCCAATATGAATGAAGATTTGTTTGGTATGTAATGCATCTTACGGTTCCGCCCTTTTTTGTAGTAATAAATAAAAGTTATTATTTACAAAAACGATGATCTCGCCGATTTCAACGCCCTTGAAATATGTTATAGAATACATGTTATGAAATATGTTATAGAGCATTGTAAGTAACTTTTCCCTGTACATATATGTACCGTTGCACGGCTTTAGTTTCCTAAGTATGTGTAAAAACAGTTCTTGTACTTTTTTGTTTCATTTGGATTAGACGCCTCACGGATATCAATGTCATTGAATAATGGTATAAACAACAACATTCTAAGTGAATTTTTGCCTAAATATGTTACTGTCACTCGGCTTTAGTTTGAGAACTATTTGAAAAAAAATTCGACATCTAGGAAATTCTCCCATTGTTGACATCCTTTCTGCTAAATAGCTCAGCTAAGGGCGCTTCAGCACTTAGAAAGGATTTCAACGATGAGAGAACTTCATAGATTTCGGTTTTTTTCAAATATTTCTGAAAGTAAAGTGGAGCTTGACAACATATTTGAAGGTCATTGAAATCAGTGAGGAAGTAGCTTCTCAACAAGTTGACTAATAAAACAACTGGTAATTATGCAGTTCAGCGGTGTTTCTTAATTTTACCTATTAAACCCTGTGGGTTTTTTTTAAATAGCTTCATTTTATTCCTAAAACGAAAAATCAGACGGGGGTGGTCGAAAAAATAATGTAGTTACCGAGATATTTGCAAAAGACTGCTACTACTACACAACATACATTGAATGTTGTCTATACGTGCACGCCTGTGGCAACGTATTCACCCGTTATACCTGTACTACATACAGTACACATTCGTTTCCCGCACTAGTCGGGGCTGTAGCAGGTCAGAATTCCAGGAATCGTGCAGGAAGTAAACGCCAATTACCCGAGCGCTTTCCCCACCACTCGGCCGTTCAGTCGTGCGACGCAGATACATATAGGGTGGGCTGGATATGCGCACTTTACGGTTACATTAATTATCTCCGTTATTTTTAGATATCAGAAAAATTTATTCACAGATTGTTGTTCAGTATGAAGAGGGCTATTACTTAGCAGTAACAAGTTTTTCGTAGGTGGAGTATCTTCTAAGTTTTCAAAGTTAATTATGTCATTTTTATTAATGATATTGAAATATTATGGAATAAAATACTTTTATTATATAAATCAATTCTTCCAAACATTCTGCGTAATAAAGTATTAAGGTATTATGTGAAAAAGGTAATAATTCGTGACATATTTTACATAAAAAATTTGAAATGTGTCACGAATTGTTATGTAACTCCTACTCAACCTACAAGAAAGTTATTGCTATGTTATGGTCCCTCTGATAGCATTTAATTACAGTACTGTCTGATCGTTTGATGTGAAATGAAATTGTCACCAGTATTCATACAGTTATCCGCGAAATTGTTGTTCAAACAAAACATTCAAATATGTCGTTGAATTCGTCTTCAAATGCTTAATAAGACGACAGTAAACAAAATATGTAGTTCCAGTGTAAAAAAACTACATTGGTATTAGAATCTATGTAAATAACAATAGTAGAAAAATTCACATATTCTATTAAGTTTACTTGTAGTAACATAGTTACTTCGTGAAATCAAACAATTTTCATATGAAACATTTCTTCGCATTTTCAATAGTTACAGAAATAATAGTGTATATATAGTTAAACTGGATATTCTGTACATATTATTTTACCATTTTTTCAGTTTCTATGGTTAAACACCTTAAAGATATTTAATATTCTTATTCTTCACTCTAACTATGTTATACCTTATACTTGTTGCGTAATTTTTACAGGTTTAGTTGCTTACATAAGTATTTATATTCATTATGAATGAAGAATCATACGAAATGTAGTTGATTATAACTGAAAGTATCTAAAAACATTGCAACATTTCATTAAAACAGTATTATATACACTGCGCTTTCTGTGATGGATATGCGAGTTAAACGCGACACCGTATGTGTTCCGGCCTGGGCGTGCTGGGCGACAGAGTAGGGTACGCGCGCGTGTGTGAGAAATGCGTGTGAGCAAGGGGCGTGGCTTTCGTGCAGATAACGGTGGAGCGGGAAGCGAATGTCTACTGTATGTATTTAGCCAAAACTCAAACAGTTCATTGCAAATATTTCAGAAAGTAATCCCAATCAGTGCTAACATGTATACGAAACAATTGTTCAAAATATTGAGTTCTATAACATATCCAAAGGTCATTGAAATCGGTATTGAGTTGTATGATTCTGAATAACTTCCCACAGTTCTTAAACAGGAAAATGATGAAAGTACATTACTTTTACGACTTCCCCCGCTTGATTTTTCGTTTTAGTGATAAAATGAAGCTATTTAAATATAAACCGAAGTGAAATAGCGAAATTTAAGAGAAGCCGCTAAACTA